ACGGTTTTCTGTTTCTTTCCCACCACCACACGCAACGATGCGGCCCCATGAGGCTAAGGCTTACCTGTGGTGAGAGCCTCCGCGGTTGCTATGTGCATAATGGTGTTGTCACTCACAGGCCACTTTTCGGGGGACAGCACAAGCTGGTCTAGTCCTCCAGACTGTTTCAATTCCTCCTGGATCTTTGTCCCTAAAGCACTATTTTCTTTGCTGGCATTTCTGTACCCAAGAGCATCTCCAACGCTCCCCAACAGCATAGCAGCCTTAAATTTCTCCATCTTGGGAAGGCCTTCAGCTGGCCGGTTTCCTCCTGCTGTTAAAGCTGCTCAGAGTCCTCAGCCTTTGTTGCTTCCGCTTGGTCGCTGCCTTCAGTCAACCCTGCTGACATTTATATTGGTCATTGTATCACTGTCAGGACCTTCCTCTAAATGGCCAGGCACTCCTTTTCTGTCCCTGCAGGTGGCACCTCTTATATAAGGACCAATGAGAAAACCCCTCTGGATCCCCACAGCTCACAACGTTCCCTCTAAGCAGGGCTCCTGGGCACCAGTGTGCGGTATCGATTTCCCTCAGCCTTCGCACGGACTCTAGCTTTTCAATGAGCAGACTGCTATCTTTAATTAATCAACATCCAGACCATTCTTTTAAAAAGCAATAGCTTCTGAGTAACCAATCTTTGTTGGAAAAGAAATTGCAAAAGACGTGCATTTTAAAACGAAAAGTGTTAAAGACCATAAAATCTATCCATTTTAGGTGTACATTTTGGTGAGTTTTTGTAAATGCGTATTCTTGTAGAATCATCACCCTAAAAGAGCCCTTTGCCTATTTGACCCCCCAGACCTGTTGTATGACATGGAGTGGGAACTGACTCACAGCTGACCCTCTAGTAGGTTTTCAGAAGCTGTGAATCGCTCAGGACAGTGCCGGTCTCCCACACAGCAGCAGATGGATTCGAACCGTGTGCCTTTGGGTTGGGCAACACAGCTCCCTACCACTAGAGCACCAGAGCTCCCTCCTCAGAACTTGTTTCTAAAAAATGTCAAGGAAATAACTCGTATTATAGTCTTTTCTACTTGACTTCGTGTAATGGATTGCATGTTGGAGCGCTGAAGGAGAAGTCAGCAGTTCAAACCCAATGGCTGCTCAGTGGGAGAAAGAAGTGGGCTCCCTTTGAGATTTATGGCTATGGAAACCCAATGGCAGTTTGTCAGGAGTTGGCATCCACCTGGCAGCAGTGGATCTGGCTTTTAATTTTGGTCTTTCACTTATTATTAAATATATACAATGTCTTAGCTGCAAAAAAATAAAATTAGGGGTCTGTGACAGAAAACTTGGAAAATACAGAGAAGTGCAAGGGGAAGGGGGACTGGCATATGATTTCAGTGTAAACATTGTTTTCTTACAAATTGACGTTCAGCAAGAGGCTGTCCAGATAGCTACACTTTCGATTTAAAAGTGGTAAAATGTGCAAAGCCTACCAGAATGTATGATTCTGTTCTCAGTAACTGAATGGTATTTAAAATATCCTCAACCACTTGTCAAAGAATGCTCAAAGATAAGGTTGGAGAAAAGTAGACACAGAATATATAAAACCAGGACTCTTGCTTTAAAAAAAATATAAAAAGAAATCCATCTCCCTAAGCCTCAGGCCCAGAAGAGCAGCGGTAATGCGTAGTGCTGGAGAATCCAAACTGCCAAGGTTATGCTTCCCTCTCCTGTCTCCCAGTGGGACCTCTCGTCCTCTCAGAAAGAGTAGTAGAAACACATGAGCTTAAAAACGACATCTGATAACATTTTAAATGTACATCAAGGTAGTCAGATAAATTTAAATACTCATGTAGTAAGATGCCAGCAAACTGGTTTAAAGATAATACTGTAGCAAGCAGAATTCTGAGTTTCTCAAGTAGTCCTTCAAAACCATTACAGATGATTTTTCATTGCAATTTATGTAGGACTTCTATAAAAATAAAAGTCAGAAATGAAGTACAATCGTTTTATTTAACTGTCCTAGGTAGTGATTTAACAGTATACTTTGGAAGAAATAATTTGTTGAGTAAAAATATTATGACCAAATTTGACAAATACAGTGAATTTTTTATCATAGCCTCAACTTCATTTTGTGACTGATTTTTATCTGTGCCTATTTCAAGTGGATACTACTTGAAAGGGATTTCTTGCTGATTCTGGAGCTATAAAATCCTTCACACGAGTGAGAAACTACTATCGGACCTAAGAACAAATATTAAATTCATTCATTTGTTCACTCAACAAATATTTGCTGAGTTTCTATGTCACACTGTGGACACAGCAACAAATAACAGGAAAAAAGGCTACCACTGACTCTACAGAATCTGAAGTCTAGAATATATATAATATTATAAACTTTTATTAAGGTAAAAACCAAACAAATAACAGAACAACACACAATTACACATGTCACTGAGGGTGAGGAGGAAATTTATTCCAGAAACTCTTGGTAGGTACTCTATGAGGATACAGGGCAATAATGTGAATTTCTTTTGCTTTCATGTGTGGATTATTTGTGTATTTTCAAAAATTTATAATTTGTATTACTGTGTATTTTGATATATAATTCCTACCAATTCCTGAAAATTCTTTTCACCTTAAATATGTGAGATCTATGATTTCTCACATGGAAAAAATCATATTTAATAGCACTGTGATACTGAAAAAGAAAATTAAATTATTTGTTTTAGGACAAAATGTTTCATGTTTCTACTGGAGCATATTTACTACTTATAAATTTCCCATTTGCCTCATGACTCAAGACGAAGACACTGACATCTAGTGGTAAGTAACTACGAGTGGAACTTAAAGATACCACCACAACCAGCAGAGAAAAGAATTTATTTTAATGTTTTTGAAGATTTTAGCACTTTAATAACATGCATAATTTAAATGTATAATTTATGGAAAAAACCCCCACAAAGTTTTGAAGAGCCATTGTCCAATTACTAATATTTTGATTAACTATTGATAAACAACACCAGAGGTCTCTGTTTTTAGTTTTGCATGTTTTGTTTTTTAAAAAACTATTGCAGACCTTCATAATTATCTGAGTTCTACACACTTCTCTAAACAGAATACCTACATGGCAAGAATTTATAAAGCCTAGAAGGATGCCTTTAAATTTCTGATGTTTTCATTAAAGCGAGCTTTTGTCGTATGAAATAAATGTTCTCTTGGAATCACAGATTTCTGAAGGTAGAGCTGTCTATTCCTTCCTTTTGTAGATATGGAAACAGAAGCTTAAGTGACCTGCTCTAGATTCTGAAATCAGTGGCCTACTCAGACCTAGATCTTGTCTTCAAACTCCGAAACCATTTTCATTTCTCTATTCCCTGCTGCCCTTTTAATATTTCTAGACAAACACCTATAAATATATAACTCAGAATCTAGCAAGTATCTTCAAACCCTTAAAATGTGTCTTAAAATTTTAAGTAGATATTTCCTAAAACAATTATATTTTTAGGAGTCAAGGAAAACTATAAATGTTAAGCATACATTATATTTTAAAGTTATGAAGTACGAACTGTGTTGTAGTCAAGAGGCACTTATGCTGCTAATCCTGGTGGTTCAAATCCACAAGCAGCTTCTCAGGAGAAAGATGGCCAATGTCCTCCTGGCCAAATTATAGCCTCCAAAACTCTACTGGAGCTATGAGACTGAGATGAAGTGAAGCTCTTTGATTTCTCTCTCACCTGTATATTAATTACCAATTTGTTTGTTTCATAAACTGTATTATATATATAGGGCAGCAAAGGAAACCTATAGAGTGAAGAACAAGTATGTTAGATTTTTTTCCAAATATGAGGTAGGGTCAATACAGACTGATTTTCAAAACTCTGCAGAAGAGCTTTGTCAAAAGAAGAGCAAGGTAACATCTTGAGCTTTTCAGCCTTTGGCTCACACATACTTTATTTTTGTCCTGTATTAGATAGAGGGTTCACTTTGACAAGGCAGAGACTGGAAGAAACAGATAACATGATATGAAGACAAATTTCAGCTCTTACATAAGATAAAGGTTTCTGCTTTTTGTTTTTTCACAATGTTGTACATTTTAACTTCCTATTTGTACAATTAGTACAATTAGTTCAAAGGGATGGATGGTAGACATTATAGCTATTAAAGACATTTGAGGAACCCACTCACTTGATTTTTAAATCTGTAATTCATTCATTAAAAGAAACTATTTTTCCCATGGAAAAATGTCTTTCTTAAATGTAATAAAATATTTTTTTAAAAAAACATTTTAAGAAACTTCTTAGGAAGTTCTAATAACATTATTAAAAGTAAATTAGGCTCGCTGACTTGTAAACAGTTTAAAGGAAAACTTTCCTGAAACCACACATCTGTGCAAACTGTAATGGACTATTAAAAACTATAAAAATGTTTTACAGATGAGCAGCTAGGAAAACTAAAACAAACAAAAATAGATTTGGCAAATCTAGATATCTGATAATTCGAAAAATAGAAATCTTAAATTCCTGGCACCAAGTTTAAAAAATGTGAGAATCCATTACAAGATCATTTTTAACACCTCTGACTTGTATAAAAATACAACATCCTACTTGAGAACACAAACACTGTCTTTTAAATGTAATTACAACATAGTTCAGCAGGACTTTTGGTAACTGCTGGTGTTCATCTTAACTCATAAAATAAATAGCATGCTCATAAGTAGTCCTGCAAAATGGGCTCTATGTTACTTTTTTCTTAAACGTAAAAATCATGCAGAAATCTCTTGAAACAGCAGCTACAATGACCCTCACGTCCAAATATCCAAAGCAGCTATCTTCTGAGGAATTTACGGTGTCCATAAAAGTCACCATTTCCTTTAAGCAGAATCAGACGGTTATTTTAACTTCATGGCTGGTTAAGGATGACTTCTGGAATCAGCAAGAAATGTACACAATAACTGACCAAAATGTCTCCTTTACAGGACACAATTAGAACCTAATCTAGCTTCATTTTTCTGCTTAGAAAGTGCTGTGCTTTCCACCTGTGATTACTGGTCGTGCATATTCTACAAAGTCATCTATAAGAACAGGCCACGCACCTAAAGAAAAACAAATAAAATACAAAGTTTTAATACTGAGTTTTCATATTCAATCCACTTTCGTTTTAACTCGATAATCCAACATTTACATTTCAAGAACCAAAATTATTTCACGTTTATACACTTCATGACTCACAGCATGAATTAGGTGAAGTTATTGATTTCTTCATTCTGGCAGAACTGTGGTCACCAATACTGGCGTGAGTGTGTGTTGATAAAGCTCTTCTCATGTAACAACGGTACGTGATCCCATTCTTCCTCACAGTGACCTGACAGGCCCTAACAATCCTCAGCCTAAACTCTGAGCACTTCGAATCAACTGATCACAGAAGAATGGGGAGAAATGAACCTAGCTACACTTCCCGGCTGGACCGATGAGCAAACCCACTGCCACTCACAGTGACATGACAGATCATAGCAGTACTGTCCCACTGAGTGTCTGAGGCTGCAGGTGGATAGAAGCATGCCCCTAGATATTTTTCTCACAGAGCTGCTGGTGGGTTCACATCACTGACCTTTTGGGTAGCATCCAAGTGCTTAAACACTACACCACTCGGGGCAGGGGACTCTTTGATCTGAGGAACTATTTCATAGTGCTCCTGTCGATGCTGTTTTCTTGTTCAGAATGCACACTTCTTTTGTTTCTTAAGCCACACTCAAGGACTCAATTCGAACCCACCAATTCAGTGATACATTTATGCTCTTGAAATACTTAAAGATTACTACTAGACAGCCATGTCTTACTTAGCCTGTCCACTTCCCCACCTTGTTGTTGTTATGTGCTGTCAAGCTGCTTGTGACTCACAGCGACCCTATATACAACAGCCCTAAACCCTGCTGTCCTATGCCAATCTCACTGTCTCCAACACACCCACCCCAATTACCCCAGTCTCTGAATCAATCTACCTCATAGAGGGTCTTCCTCTCCTGCGCTGTCCCTCTACCCTCCCAAGCATGATGTTCCTCTCCAAGGACTGGTCCAAAGTATGTCAGATGAAGACTCAGAATCCTTGCCTCCAAGGAGCAGCCTGGTTTAACCCTCTCTAGGATGAACCTGTTTGTTTTCTTAGCAGAGGTCCCTAACAGCAGACTTTCTCATCACAATACATCTTTTAATTTCTTGGCTGCTGGTGCCAAGAGTGTTGACTGTGGAGCCAAGCAAACTCAAGCTGTGAACAATCTCAATCTCTTAACCATCCATACTGATGCTGCCAAGTGGCCCAATGGTGAGAATCTTTGTCATTTTTATGTTGAGCCTTAATCCATATTGAAGGCTGCAATCCTTGACTCTCTGAAACAAGTGCTTCAGGACCTCCTCAGTTTAAGCAAGCAGGGTTGTGTCATCTGCATAATGCATACTGTTGATGGATCTTCCACCAATCCTGACGCCACATTTCTCCTCATAGAGCCCAGCCTCCTGGATGATCTGCATATAGGTTCTGCATATAGGTTGAAAAGGTATGGAGATAGGATGCATCCCTGGCATACACCCTTCCCAATTTTGAATCATGCAGTGTTTCCTTGCTCTGTTCTAACAACTGCCTCTTGGTCTAAGTATAGGTTTTGCATTAGTACAAGCAAGTATTCTGGAATTCCCATTCTCCTCAGAGTCAGCCACAGTTTGTTATGATCTATACAGTCAAATGCCTTTGCTTAATCAATGAAACACAGACAGATATTCCTCTGGTATCCTCTGCTTTCAGCTAAGATCCAATTAACATTAGGTACAATATCCCTAGTACCAGACCCCTTCCAAGCCCAGCCTGGACTTCTGGCAGTTCTCTGCTGATGTGCTATTCCAGCCATTATTGATAATCTTTAGCAGAATCTTGCTTGCATGTGATATCAATGATCTGATTTAATATTCATTTTTCTTTGTTCTAGAAATAGAGATTCCCCAGTTGGGTACTTACCACACACTTGCTACTTTTTTTAAAGTATATTTTTTTTTATTATAGAGAATTTACGTGTAAAAAGAGAAACCAAATTCAAGTTTCTACATATACAATTCACAAACTGTACACAAATCAGGTGACACTGATTCTATTTGAGCTGAACAACCATTTTCACTCTTCTTTGTTGTTCTTCTGCCATAAACATAAAATCCCCTAGGGGTATTACCTGATCCATCAAGTCGCATATGATAAATATATATCTTAAAAGGATATAATGCTCAAGGCGGGCAATCTTTATGAGTTAAATGTAACTACTTGATTTTAAAATACTGTAGGGGCTATATTTGGTTTAAGGTTTCTTTGGGAAATAGTTTCAAGGTTTATCTAGACACCATGGCTCCAGAAAGGATGAATTGCAAAAAATTACTTTTCTTCTTTAGTACTTCGATCAAAATGCCGAGTAAGTCATTAAGTACCATGCAGTCCTTTTGGTCACATGACAAAGGAGGAAGATGTTCATGGAGGTAATGACTCAAAGGAATGCGTAGCTGGTTGTTCATTGTCACACATGCTATTCCTATCCCTGATTTCTCATTTCACTTCTGTTCAGGTGTACAGACGTCATCTGAATGGCCTTGTGCAAGTTGTTGAACACCAGAAACCATCCACTAAACCAGTGGCAGATTGTTGTTGTTACTGTCAGGTTGGAATCGACCCATAGCTGACCCACCGGTGGGTTTTCAGAGGCAGTTAATTGCATGAGAGGAGACTGTCCATCCTTCTCTTGTGGAGGAGCTGGTGGATTTGAACCCTACGCCTTCTGGATTGCAACATAGCTTCTTACCACTAGGCCACTAACGCACTAAGTACCTTATTAGGACAATTACCTAGGATGTCCCATGAACTATGACCCTAATCTCCAAAGCGAGGAACTAATCCCAAGAATCCCTTTTATCCTTGATAACCACTAAGAAACTTTGGTTTCCATATACTTGCTTGTTCTTGTCTTTTTATATAAGTGAGATCATATAATTATTTTTCATTTTGTGATTGAATTCTTCTTCTAGTTGGTTGGGCCCTAGGGTTATATTTTAATCCCCTGTTATTATATTTTAGAGGAACATTCTTCTAAATTGTATAGAACTGTTCTGTTAATTTGCCATGCTGAGGTCATCTGGGTTTGCTGTTACACTGAACCTTGTGCCACTGGGGTCTCAAATACCTTAATGGTTGCCCATGGTGGACAGTCTTTAGTGGAGCTCCCAGTTTAAGACAGGTTTGGAAGCAGGAGGGGCATCTAGTTTCTAAACCATATGCCTCTGGAAACTCTATGAACTTTGAGAAAAAACAATAGTTACTGAAAGGCTTCAGGTCTTTTGTTAATAGGGTCACTATTAGTTGTGCTTGACTCAACAGCAATTAACAACAACAACATCGTAACATGTATCAAGACTTAATTTCTCTTGTGTAATATTTCCTTGTAAATATGTACCACATTTTGTTCACCCATTCATCTGCTGATGGGCATTTAAGTTGTTGCCACACTTTAACTACTGTGACTAGTGCTGCAATGGATATTGGAATACAAGTCTTTGAATCTCCGTTTCCAGTCTTTTAGACATACAGGAACAGATGGGCTGGCTGTGTCATTTGTTATTTTTATTTTTGTGGTTTTTTTAAAAGAACTGCCATAGTTTTCCAAAATAGGTGTTTAATTTGTATTTCTCCAGCGATAAATAAGGGTTCTAATTTTTCCATATTCTTGAAAACATTTGGTATTGTTACCAGTTGAATTGTGTCCTCTAAAACTATTTGTATGTAATAATATAATGTGGAATATGATTCCCTATGATCTGATAAACCAAATAGTTATAAAAGCTTTAAGGGTGGAATATGACACCCATCAGTCTCATCAAACCCTAATTTCATGTAAGGAGAGTTTCTTTGGTCTTCTTTATTCATTGTCCAACTCTCAAATGCTAAGAACAAATTGAAAAGATCATGACTTAAGTCAGGCACACCTTAGTCTTTAAAATTACATCCTATGCTCGTCAGGATTTTAAAGAGGCTCTCGACAGCAGATCTTCCCAATGCAGTAAGGTTTTTTATTTCTCAACTGCTGCTTCCACTGGTATTGGCTATGGATACAAGTATAATTAAATCACTGACAACATCAATCATGAGGTTATTTATTGGTCTACTTGTGCTGATTTCTTTCTGTTTTATGCTGAAGTGTAATCCATTTGAAGGATGTAGTCTCAAAACTCAAACTCAAATTCATCACCTGGAGTTTGTTCTGACTCAAAGCAAACCACCATCCAGTTTCTGAGGCTGTAAACTGCGACAGGAAAAGACTATACATCTTTCTTCCACTAGAAGAATCACTAAATTTGAAATGTTAAGAGATGCACAGCGTTTGGGTTAACAATGCAATTCCCTACAGACTATGCCACTAGCTCACCGTGCCCCAGGCGACTTTGAGTGATACTGAGTCTCCCTGTGGTTTTGATTTGCATCTTTCCAATAGGTAATGAGGTTGAACATCCTCTTTCATATATCTGGTGGCCATTTGAATGTTCACTTTGGTGAAATGTTATTCAAATCCTTTGCTTAATTTATGATTAGATTGGGG